CCCTCAAATTAGAATCATCTTGTCAAAACCTTTTAAAAAGCCTCGTGGAATTTTGATAGAATTTGTAATGAACTTCTACATTATTTTGGAGAGAATGAGTGCCTTAGAAGTATTGAGTTTTCTAGTCTACAAATACAGTATGTCTCTCCCGTTATTTGGGCCTTCCTTAGTTACTCTCGGCAAAGTTTTCCAGTCTTTTTTTTGAAAGTCTTCTGTATTTTTTTTCATTATTTTGATTCCTTAATATTTTATTCATTATTTTGATTATTTGATATTTTTAATGCTATAGTAAATTTTTAAGAATTTTATTTTCTGGGAATTCCTTGGTGGTCCAGTGGTTAGGACTCTGGCATGGGCTGGATTCAATCCCTAGTTGGGGAACTAAGATCCCGCGAGCCACGCAGTGCGGCCAAAAAAAAATTTTTTTTTCTCCAATGCTTCAGTACTAGCATATAGAAATATAGTCGATTTTTCTAAATTTACCCTTTTTCCCTCAACTTTGCTAAATTTACTTATTAGTTCTAGAAGTTACTTTTGAAATTTTAAAAGGATTTTCTACCATAGGATCATGTTGCCCTTTTAAATCTGTATGTCTTCTATTTCTTGCCTCCCTGCTCTGGCCAGGACCTCCAGGACAAGGTTAGATGGAGGCGGCAAGGCTGGACATCCTGGCCTCATTCCTGCCATTGGGGGCAGCGTTCAGTTTTTCCCCATTGTGCACGACTTCAGCTATAGGTTTTGGATATAGATGCTCACGTCAAGTTAAGTTCCCTTCCATTCCCACTTTGCTGAGCATCCGTGTCACAAATGTGGTTGAATTTTGTCAAATGCTTCTGCCTCATCCATTTTTTCAAAACATATTGATTTTGGCTGTGCCGGGTCTCAGTTGCGGCAGGCATGCAGGATCTAGTTCCCCAGCCAGGGATTGAACCCGGGCCCCGTGCGTTGGGAGTGTGGAGTCTTCCCCACTGCATCACCAGGGACGTCCCCTTGCTTCTTCTATGGAGGTCATCACGCGGATTTTCTTGTTCACTCTGTTAATATGGTGCGTTATGCTGATCGATTTTAGAACGTTAAACCAGCCTTGCCTTCCTGGGATAAACTCCCCGTGGTCATAGTGTAGTCTCCTCTTACATTTTGCGCAATTGGATTGACTAACATTTTGTTAAAAGATTTTTGTGTCACTGTTTATGAGGGATATTGGTCTATAATTTTCTTTTGTGATATCTTGTCTGATTTTGGTCTCAAGATAACGGTGGCCTCATAAAATCTTATTTTCTGGAAGAGTCTGTGTAGAAGTGACATTTCTTCCCTGAATGTTTGGTTGCATTTGCCAGGGAAACTGTGTGGGCCAGGAACTTTCTTTGTGGCAAAATTTAAATTATAAATGGAATTTCTTTAATATTCTGAGTACATACCTCTTCTTGTGCCTATTTTGATCATTTGTGTCTTTCAAAGAATTTTTCCATTTCATCTAAATTGTCCAATTTTTTAAAATTAATTAATTTATTTTTGGCTGTGTTGGGTCTTCATTGCTGCATGCAGGCTTTCTCTCGTTGTGGCGAGCGGGGGCTACTTTTTGTTGCGGTGCGCAGGCTTATCGCGGTGGCTTCTCTTGTTGCAGAGCACGGACTCTAGGCGTGCGGGCTTCAGTAGTTGTGGCACATGGGCTCAGTAGTTGTGGCACACGGGCTTAGTTATTCTGCGGCAAGTGGGATCTTCCTGGACCAGGGCTCGAACCTGTGTCCCCTGCGTTGGCAGGCGGATTCTTAACCACTGCGCCACCAGGGAAGCCCTAAATTGTCCAATTTTTGGTCATCAATTGATAATACTGAAATATTATTCTTGTAATGTCTTCAGGGTGTGAAGTGATACCTTCTCTTTCACTCCTCACATTGGCCGTTTGTCTCTTCCTTTTATTTTTCTTGATCAGACTAACTGGAAATTTATCCATTTTATTGATCTTTTCAAATAGCCAACTTTGGGCTTCACTGATTTTCTCCATTGTTTGTACATTTTCTATTTCATCTATATCTACTCTTATCTTTATTATTTCTTCTACTTCTTTGGGGTTTAATTTCCTCTTCCGCAGTCCTTGGCAGGGTCTGGCAGCTCTGCTTGGCTGCCCGGGCAGTCTGGGTCCCCGGGAAGGGCAGGGCTGTGCTGGGACATGTGTCCTAACTTTGGACCCGGCTCTCTAGGGAGAACGGTGCTGGAGCCCCTTCCTCCTGCACTAGGGACGGGGTGGGTGACTGTTAGGTCTGGAACCCAGGCCTCCAAGTACCAGACTCAGACTGTCCCTGGAGACTTGCGGGGCAGAGCAAGGGGTCCGTGGCTCACCAGGTTCTGCCCTCACCCAGGCCTCAGGGTCCCCCTACAACACGGGCTGAGGGACCAGCATTCCTGCCAGGGCCTCAGAGACGGGGTGGTTGAATGGGCTCCATGCAGGGCATCCTGCTGCCACAGGGGGGCAGTGCGGCCCCAGGAACGCCCACTGTGAACGAGAGAAAGAGAGAGAGAGAGAGAGAATGAGAATGTGTGTGTGTGCCCGCGCAACCCTCCTCAAGCCACCCAAGGTCTCACAGGACTTCTCTGACTCTCCCCATGTGAGCCCCCTCCGCACCTGAGCCACTCCCCATCTGAGTTCCCACCTGGGCCTCTGTGGTCGAGCCGGTGGAACACCGCAAGCGTCCACTTGGCCCAGCAGGTGGCGCCAGGAGCTTGGGGAACTGACCGGGGGGGGGGGGGGGGGGGGGGGGGGGGGGGGGGGTGCGGGGCGGGGGCTCGCAGGGCTGCGGCTGAGCCCCAGGCGCTGGACTGGAGTGCGGGGGCACCACCAGGCCTCACCGAGCTCAGTTTTCACCTCATTTATTAATCACCGCTGGGGCTGGGGGAGGCTGGGAGGGGCGGGGCCTGGGGGTGGGGATGCTGGGCGGTGAGCTGCGGTGGTCCCGCAGGTGGGGGCAGAGCACCAGGCCTTCCCGAGGTCTCGCAGAGGGAAGCGGTGGAATCCCGCCCAACGGGGGATGGGGTGGGGGGTGGCGGGAGGCGTGGGGGAGGGAACTGGGAGGAGTGTGGGGCCTCGGGCTCAGGAGAGGCAGCGCACAGCAGGCAGGGCCCCACTCTGACGGCCCCTGTTGGGGAGCAGGATGGGCCTGGGGCTTCGGCACTGGGGAGGAGGTGACCATTCCCCCACTACCTTCTGGTATGGAGCTGGGCAGGATCCTCTCAGGCCTCTGGTCTCTCCCAGCAAACCCCCAGTCCTCTCCCGCCCTCTGGGGACTGAGCTGTGACGCCCCGTACGTACCGCCACACATGGGCAGCCTGCCCAGCTGGGGCAGCGGAGGCATCGGTCCCAGGGCTGTGGGGATGGAGTTGGGGGAGGGGGGGTGGGGGGCTGGGGGGACCCTTGATTAGGGAGGGGCCCGGCAGGCTAAGAGGCATTTCTGTGGTGCCAAGGTGGCTGGGTGGGGTGTGCCAGGCCCCCCGTTCCCCCCAGGCCCCCCCCAGCCCAAACAAATCAGAGCAGCAGCATATGGTCAGCAGGGCCTTTGTTTGCCGAGAGAGGGCTGGGGCGCTGTGGAGGCCCCGTCCCAGCGCCTGGCCCATCCCAGGGCCTGTCCCATCCCAGCGCCTGGCCCATCCCAGGGCCCGTCCCATCCCAGCGCCTGGCCCATCCCAGCACCTGGCCCATCCCAGGGCCTGTCCCATCCCGGCGCCTGTCCCATCCCGGG